AAGGTATGTATGACATAGTTACTTCAGCATAGTGACTAAGCTGGGTGATAAAAGACTCCAGAGGTAGACTGTGTGATAAAAGGAAGACGAATTCTAAGGATTATGGTTCAAGTTCATAGTAAGGCTCTTCCAATTTCAGATTAAGTAATCTGAACTGGGGTTTCTTCCTCCTCAAAAATGATACTATGGCCCTCATCAAACAGTTTCAAACAAGAACCAAAATTATCAAAGTACTATAAAATGTGAATTTATCTCTCAAGCTTAATATCTGGGTAAAAAAAATGAAGCTATAAATCTATCTTACATCTACAAATTGACTATCTTAAGAGTTAAAAAGAAATACGCTTTGGGAATTTAGAATCAGTTGGTTTCTCTTGTAGGTAGGAATACGGGAGATTTCCTAGAGGAGGGTGCATTAGTGACAGTAAGACAGACCTTGAAGTGTAAGATTTAGTAGCGAACTTGAAATGCGAACACTACACAATGGCATGTATGAAGGAGTATATAGTTGTGACTATTAGTGTTTACTGTCAGCTTGAGCAGATCTAAAATGACCTGGAAGATGGGTCTCTGAGCAGCCAGTGGATGTCACCTTTATTTGGTTCATTAAGCTGGGAAGGTAGCACCGTCTCCCTATGCTTGTATCCTAGTCTGTAGACAAGGAGAAGAGGAGCAGAAGAGCAGTGTATACTCATGGCTGTCTACTTTATCATCATGGATTTGCTATGACCAGTTCCATCAAGCTCCAAACACTGTGACTTCCTCGCGGTGATGCACTGTGCTCTTGAGCTATTAGCCTTCTCCTTCAGTTATTTCTGTTAAGGTAGTTTACTACAGCAACAGGAAAAGAAACAGGGGCTTGGCTAAGAGCTATTTTCCTTTCTTCTGTAGTTTCTGAGTCTAAGCATCTACCTCTAAAGCTAAGCCCTCCTTTTCCTCTAATTTGAGTCAATGACTCTTGAAGAAAATGTTTCCAGTGTGTTCTGAACAAAAACTCCTGGAAACAAGTTGTGTTTGCAAAGTGACTGACTGGAATTTTAGTACTATGGAGAGATTGGGAGGGGCAGAATGAAGTCCCAGAAGGTAACTACCTTATCTTGGGCTAGTTCTAGCCCTCTGGAACAGCCATTCCCAGCCCATCTGAGTCTGAGCTGACACCTAATAGACTGAAACCTTTCGGGATCTATTAACTTAGCAGACCACTATCTCACAGTGACTCAAAAGCTAAGGATGTCATCAGACATCATCTTGCATCTTGGGTCTACAGAAAAACTTCCCCCCATCTTGAGGTGACTGCTTTGAGTTATGACTTTGTTTGCTCTATAAAATTATAAGATGTCATGAAATTGCTTCCACATTAGAATGTGGAATGAATGGTTAAATCTGAGTTCCTGGGCCATGGTCACTCAAAATGGTTCCAGAATAAACCCACCCACCCTCCCTCCCTCCCTCCCTCCCTCCTTCCCTCCCTCCCTTCTTCCCTCCCTTCTTTCCTTCCTTCTTTTCGTCCTCCTTCCCTCCCTCCCTCCCTCCTTCCCTCCCTCTCTCTTTCCTTTCTTTTTCTTTAAGATGAGAGTTGTAGTTTTTTCTTCAACAGTTTTTTACATCAAGAAAGGATTCATGCAGAGATGCTAGCTAGATTTGACGACCCAGATTTCTACCTACTAGCTTTTTTTTCCCACTTAATTAAGGAACTACCTATAAGAAAAGGCTCATTCTCTATCCAATGCAATAATCTCTGTGGTTCTGAAGTTTTACCAAGGCCACTCATTTGGACTTCCTATCCATTTTGGGGTAATAATTAAAGGTTTTTCAACAAATCTGAATGGCAGAGAGGGACTTTTTGTTGTTAGTGGCCTTTCATATTTAAGATGTACCTCATTCTTCCTAAAGTAAAGTTGAAGAAACAAAGTTCAAGAAAAGTATGTATGATGTTAGCACAGACTTTAAAAAATAATACAGTAAGTTGAAAGCCCTGAAGCAACTCTAAGCATCATAGGGGAAATCGCTGGAGTTTCTCTCTCGGGTATATTTTGAAGAATAAAATTTGATTTTCTCAGAGAGAGTAGCTCTGAGGGAAAGCAGCTGTTGATGGGCCATGCTTTCCCATTCACCACAAAAATGAGGCTGTCTCTACCTCTCAGCCATTGTTTACTTCTGTAATCAGATGCAGATTTCTTTACTTACACAAAGTAAAAGGGATGCAAGATACAGGGACCGGGCCCAGCTGAGTGCTTCAGAGGATGAGGTATGAACAGAAAGTCAAGTTCTTCCCTAAAATATTGTTGAAACAAACTACATGCAGACAAACCAGCTTCCACATCGTAGCAACAGCTCACTTACTTCAAACAACACAAAATACAGAAAAACACAATTACGAAAGCCAGCGCCTGTGATACCGGTGATAACTGCCAATCCATCCCAGGGTGGGTACACGGAGAAATCTCCCCTCTTACCAACCAAAATTCTTACAATAGTAAAACCCACCTAGGTCACTGAAAGGTAAAGACTGCCCTCTTTAATTCTTTTATTACAGGACATGAAATGGAAAATAAATAAGATTTTCCATCTGCCTGGAGAAAATTCCTTTTGAAATCAACAATAAAATGTAAGGGCTTTGGAAGGGGAAAATAACCACACATCTCAAGCTACAAGTCAAACTATTTTGATTTAAATGCATTTATAGTTTCATTTCCACACTGCCCTTGTTTTTAACTGTACATTCAAATCATGGCTTTTCTTGTGTCCTTAAGAGGATATGACAACTAGTTAGACTCAAAAGCGAGGGGAAAAGCCTTGGAGGTGAGTCAGAAAGTCTTGGGATATTTCTTTAAGTGTGTTAGAAAGCAACTTATAAGTAAAAACAATTCCTAAATGCATATTTCTTTTGAGATTATGGTTTAATGTACTCCCAGAATCTTCAAACTGCTTTGTACTAGGGAACCTTTTATCCAATCCAAAAAAAAAAAAGCTTAAGAAAGTAAATCAAGGTCATGGCTGGTAGTCAAATGGGTCACTGTTTGGGTTTCTTAGTCATTTGCTGATAGAGAACCCTTCTGAGAATCACCAGAAATGACAGTGTCATAAAATAAGGATTTATTAACAGTGTCACATATTCTTTAAATTTCTGAAATCTTTTTTTTTTTTCTTGAGGTGGGATGGAAGGCTGTAAGCTTTCAGATACGTTACAGGCACTTGGTTGAAAAGATATCCTTTTAAAGTAAAGGCGTAATGGAGGAGGGCAGCTATGCCACATTTGAAAAGATTTATTTATTATAAACAAGACTTCGGAAAACTACTCATAAATATCTGCCCTTTTTTTAAACTCTTGTAAACCGTTTAATTCTTAACTTTGGACTTTTCTCTAAGAATTACTGTCTCAAAGAGTTTGTTTTTGTTTTGTTTAGAGTACGTTTTTTTAAAAAAAATAGTTTTTAGGTTCACAGCAAAACTGAGCAGAGGCATGAAGGTCCCCAGTGGTCTTTGTTTTCACATGCTCAGCCTGCTCCCTCACTATCTACAACACTGTGTTTCAGAGGCGGCCATCTATGAGACACACCGGCATGTCATTATTTTCCAAGTTCAAATTCCATATTACACTGCACGTCTGTTATCCTACCTCCTGTGCCGTCTGACAAACATGTGAGTAAGATATATCCACCAAGATAGTCTGCTGCCTCATAGCCTCATTATCTTAACAATCCTCTGATTTGCTTATTGATCCCTCCCTCCCTTCAAGGAATTCCCACTTTTACAAAGCAGTTTTCAAAACAGCATTTCTAAGCAAAGACGTCCTCCCATTTGGGACAAACGCCTACAACAGTTCTCATATAAAAACTCCATTTAGCTCACTGTGTGCTCATCAAGACTACACAGCACATCAGATGTTTTCTAAGTGGCAAGCACAGGTAACCAAAAAAACATGTTAAAACAATAAATATCAAACAGGAAGAGACTAGAAAGCACCGTCTATTTCCTATTCTTCCCTTCCCTTCTGAGTGTTGATTTTAATCAGAAGGGACCAAGGTACTGTTTCCTATTTTCAAATTTTTATTGATCAACAGCTTCCTAACTTCATACCTTACATATGCATACGATTTGAAAAATTCAATTCTGGCACAAGATAGAAATTCTCTTTTAGAAGATGAACTTGCAACCAAGCAGCAAGAGAAAAAAGTTTTCTCAACTTGTCTTTCTTACTCTGCACAACTTCCTTCCTTATTTGATAAATGACCACTAACTTAAATTTACTTCAAAGTAAACAGGCGTAATTCCCGAGAACAAGACCTTTAAGGTCGAATGTTACAATAGAATGTGACAGCGTTCTTTTGAGTCACAGTCTGGTCCCCACCCCTTTCTCCCAGGCGACCTGAGAGACCTAACCTTGGAGCTCCTTAGGTAGGGCCTTTAGCCTGGACAGCAGGAACAGCCACGAGGGTGCTCCGCAGGCGGGGCCGCTGAGTACCTGCAATGACCGCTGTTTGCGGCTGGCGGCCAAACAGCATTTTCTCTGAGAACTAACTCCGTAAGAAGGAGACAGTGTTTTGGCACTCAATCCACAAGTGAAACACACACACTCCCCCAAAAGTCATCACTTCAGAAGTTATCAGCAGGCGCGGGTGTGACGGAAGTGTCACTAGTCAGCAGCCACTTTAGAGAGCCTGGGGCAGCCTGACTTCTGGGGAGGAGGATGTCAAAGCCACATCACTGAATAACACAGGCTCTCCAGAGCACAGCTTCCCCAGGCAGGAAGCGGTGTCAGCCACCATCCCGCCTAGACTTCACCCAGGGTTTAGGGGAAGGCGTGGCCCAAAGGTTTTCCGAAAAGTTTCTGGCACAGCGACAGCGAGTCGCAGGATCTGGCTCCGCAGAGACAGTTACCTAAGGGATCGGGGTCCGCGGAGTCATCCTCCAGCCGCACCCACCGGATCTGGTCCCAGAACCCGGGCCAGCTCCCGCGTTCAGGTGAGGCGACCACGCCCGCCGTCCGCTCCACTCACCTTCTTCATTTTGGTTTCCAGGTCCATGCTGGGCGTCGGAGGGGCTCAGTCCCGCGTCCGCGGTCTCCGCTGCGGGAACTCCGGCGCCGCTGCCACAGCTACTCACGCTGCGCCCTCGAACTTCCGCAGCCCGGTTCGGCTGCGGCTGGGACCTGGAACAAAGAGGCCTTGGCAGCCAATGGCAGCGGGGCAGCGCCGAATAGCGGCCAATCAGCGCGCGCCGCACGCACCTTCGCGGCCTGAGCGTGCGGCTAGCCCAAGGTGAGGGGCGGGGCCGCGAAGGGGCGGGGTCCTGCGGAGTGACCTGTGCGCCTGGACTTAGTTTCTTCAAAACCTAGCACCCGGCTTGTGTGGGGGAGTCTTTCCTCCACCTGAAGAGTAAGCCCAGACCCTTACAAGTTGGTAGTTGTACTTGTGTGTCCGAAGACTTTTCATGCAGGCCAAGAGGAGTGATCTTCCCAATACCAACTTCTTGGCTGATTTACTCCAAAAGTTGGTATTGGGAAGATCACTCCTCTTGGAGCCCCTCCGACACAGAGAGAAGCCACGGAGGGAGCTCATTAGCCATCCCTGAGATGAGCACTGGACCCTGGTTTCACTATTAAATGGTGGAGATACCCGTTTCTCAAATGCTTTTCTCCAGAGTCCTGAACGCAGCCAAGGAATCTTCTCTCGCATTAATGCCAACGAAGACTACTACTACATTGTTTTGTGAGCACTCACACTAAAAGGTGAGGCTCACAGGAACTGCTGTAGAAGTAAGTGGTATCCTTGTTTGGGAAAAAAGATTGACTTTTGGACCAACTAAGTGGAATAAGGGGAGACGGCTCTTGGTTCTCGAGAAGTCTAGTTTCAAACTCTGGTCTCACAAAAGCCTGGGCCACTAAGAACCCAATCCATCCTTTCCTTCAATAGTTATTGCGATGAAGAACTTCACCTTGGATTGTTGGGACATGACGGACCCTAGGGATTAATTTACTTCATGCATCTTGCAGGAAGGGATCTGTAGGTCTCTAGGTACAGGTCCCACTCAAATACCTTAGCACATTTGGAACAGAGCTTAAGTCCCGGTAAATTTTCCAGGATGTGGAACTGAGGAAAAGAAGCATTTTGATTTAGGCAAATAAGCATGTTCTTTTTGGGGGGAAAAGTTAATTATGTGTCTATGTGTGAGCATGTGTACTTGTGAGAGCAGGTTCACTTAGAGTCAAGAATAGGTAAAATCTTCTGAGGTTGGAGTTCCGGCCAGCTGTGAGCCTCCTGACTTGGGGGTTGGGAATTGAAATCAGGTCCTATGATTAAAAGCAGCAGGAGCTTTTAACCACAGAACCATCTCTCCAGCCCCAAGTAATGCTCTTCAGATCCTACTACATAAAAAAATTTTAATGGCTACGTACCAGGTGGCCTAGTCCAGCATCTACATATGCATATGTATGTATTTCTATATATACATGTGATATTAAAAATTAAAATCTCCATATAATGCAGATACTTGGGTCTAGATGTCATTTCATTTCACATCTGGAAAGTTGATAATTAAAACACTTCAAAGTACACTTTAGCCAACACTTTCTACACTGTTTTTCTTGAGAACTTAATACTGCTTAACAGAGCATTGGTTTAACATACATATATTTTTTGTATCCAGTTAATGGAATGATCAAAATAGCTTGTTATATTTTTTGCTTTGCATTCAATTGAAATAAAGTATTCTAAGGCATTTTCCCAAATCACCCAACAGACTTGGGCCTACAGAGTCTGCCCAGAGTAGATATTAATGCACGCTGATGAGATCTGGTATGATTTTTGCTTTTCCAGAAAGCTTAACAGATAGAAGATGTCCAGGAAATCAGTTTAAAATAGCCAATAAGCAAATGTGACATAAGCCATTTTTTTATGAAATATCAGAAATGACACCAAGAAAAAAAGTGACATGGAAGTGTTAGTGTTTTTTTTTTTTAGTTTTCTGTTTTGTTTTTTTTTTTCATCAAATTTTGTCTTCCTCCTTTTCTTCCTTGCAAGCCTTCCCAATATCACTTTGTGTGAGTAGCGTTATCATTGGCAGACACTGGAATTTAGTGGTTTCTAACTAGAGTTTCCATCTTACCAATTATACAGTATTATCAATCATTTGTAGATAATTTATAGAAAATAAAACAGGGTAGATCAATGTCAGGAGAACTAAACCGAAGTCTTTTATCAAGTCATTAAGTGTTAGCAGAGATGTCAGGAGCTAGAACTGGTATGGCTTGATGACTAAATAGAGTCCATGGTAGATGTGTAGACAGACACAAGCATTTCTAGCATGGTTTTCTCTGGAAGATTGAGAGGAAAAAGAAATCTATGGAACAGGGCAGGGTTTTATATAGCCGTGCATTTGTCTCTGCAGAGATGGACAGGTAAAAGGTATGGTTTTGAATACATTTGGCTTGAACTTGGGATGTCAAAACACCACACTACAACGTTTAGAGATTAAGCCTATGCTGTAATGGTGACTTGGGGACGTTAACTTCCCACCTGCATCAATTAAAAGCCACGGGTGGGAACAAGAACAGCTTGGAGAATGGTAAACTAGAAGATCTGGATGACAACCAGTAAGCCAGGCTGGACAGGGCCAGCATGGAAGGGAGGTGAAAAGCCAGTCAAAAGAGGAGAGAAGACCAGGGTGAAGGAATCAAAGCCATATAGCAAAGACAGGAGCTTCGGGAGGGTTAGCCACAGTGTGACTTGAGAGAGAAGGATGAAGTGTGAGGTGCACTCAGCAGCAGTCACTGATAACTTCTGGGGAGTGCGTGGTTGGTGAGCTGTGCGCACATGCTGCTTAACAGTTGGAGCTTCCTCTGTGCCTACTGGAGTTCTGTGGTGAATGTTTTACTTGGCCCCGCCCCAAAAACTAATGGAAAATCAGCCAAACACATGACCTTCTCTGGCAGAGGAGAAATTAATCAAATAGAGATGTCAGTGTTCTGCTTTGAATGCCTTTATCCTTAGAAAAATAAGCAAATATACTAGGTTTTACACACACACACGCACACCACACAACACACTAAAAATTCATGTAGACCAATATGTATTACAATAATAATATGTAGGTTTTTTGTACTTAAATGTAGGCAGTAGATTGTCTAATTACAATCTGTGATCAGGGAATTGAGTGACCCGTTCCTGGATCTCTGTGCTGTCATGGCACTGAGCAGTGTAAACAGGCCTAGGGAGTTTCATTTGTTCTTATGTTGTGTATAGGTGGGCAATGCTGTTTACAGAGAGGTAGACCTGTAAGAACACAATGAGTTTGTAGACATAGAGGGCACACAAGCAAGGTTAGGGGAAGGGGTGCTGTGGCTGTTTCTCAAAACTTCTCAGAAGAATATTCCTTGACTGAAGATTAATAAGTGTTATGTAACACTATTTTTTATCAATTCTTCAAAACATTCATGTAACATATTTTGAAAATATTCAAATATCCATGCTCCCTTCCCCCACCCCTTCCATTACCGTCACCTCGAACCGTCTCCATAGAGTTGGTCTTGTGTTTTCCAGCTATTCTCAGGAGTAGAGCTTTGGCATGTGGTAGACTTACCAGGGATCATATCCCTAAAGAAAATTGAATTTTCCTCTCCCAGAAGCTATCAGATGCCAATAACTCCTCCGCTAGAGGTGGGATGTGTACCCGCCTACCACCTTCCCATGTTAGGATTTCATCTAGCTGAATCTTGTGTTGTAATTAAAACTTTTGATTGCAAGTAACAGAAACCCAGGTGGGCTAGTTTGATAAATTAATAACAAGATGGAAATTTCAGGAGACAATTGTCCTGCAAAACTCAACAGCTAAAATGTATCTGGGAGTAGATGTAGGCACTACAAAACCCCAGAAATCAAAAGCACTGCTCCTCTCAGGGGACACACAGACTCCCGTCTCACTGCTTTCCCTACACCAGCCTTGGTGCTTTTCCTCCTACAATTATCTTCTACATGTTCTGACATCTCAGCTCTCATGTTGGTATCTTCTATATTCAAACAAAAGACTCAGAAATGGGCTTCCGAACCAGGCAATAGAAAGATTCTTGTTGTCCCAACTTGGGGGAGTTCAGACCTCTGATCTAATCCACTTGGGCGGATGCCAGTGCAGAGGCCTCCGCTGGACACACAAACTGAAGCCCAGAGTGAGCGATAGGGCAGAGCTCACAGGAAGAAAGGATTGAGGAGCTTCCAAACACCTCCCAAGTCAAACCAGTAGACGGGGAGGTTGAATAAGTCATCCAAGCTGAAGCCACATGAATTAGGTTGAGGGCCTAATGAGGCAGTGATGGGGCTGGAGAGTGAGAAGGACCTGCCAGTGATGTTAAAGAGGAGGTACTGTTGGACTGAGGAGGCAAAGAAATCTGTTAGACTCTCGAAGAACTCCTCACATCTTAGGACTGTGCTGTATTGTAGCTGTCTAGACCTTACACCTTCCTTCTCTATGAAACAAGAGGGCAGTGAGTTCAGTTTTATGTGTAACAAATTTGCAAGGAAAATAGAATCTGGGTCTAGTAACCAACGGGAAGGTCTGGGCCTGAAGATACAGAAGATATGTACACAGGCCTATGCGCACAAAAATAGATACATACGGGGCTGGAGATGGAACGGTGATCCAGAGCACTCGCTGCTTTCAGAGGACCTGAATTTGGATCCAACAGCTGTGCACAGCTATTCCACACATGTGTACATATAATAAAATATGTGTCAAACACACCATAAATATAAAAAGATATTATTGGAAAGTTTTCTGTATTAGATGAGGTGAGATTTCCAGGTAAATATGACTACGTCTTTGTCTTCCACTGTTAATGTGAACTCTGTAAGCCTCCTCAGAGAAGACAAGCATTTCTTAACACTTGTCACAAGAATGCTTATGGGAGCCTGCTATGGCTATTATGACTCATTAGAAGCCTGAATAACATTGCAGACTGTCCTATAGGAGACATTCTTCAATAGAAAACAGGTCCCCATCTATCTCAGAACAAACCATCATGTAGAATGTTTTTTAAACTGCCCCAGACACTAGAGCTTGACTCGTGAGAAACGGATGAGCCACATCTAGGTTTAGCACAGCTGCAAAACTATGATACTCAGCAATGTTTGCAACAGTTACATCATAGGAAAAAGAGAACATGGAGATGTGC